CCCGAAGCGGTGCTGACTGGAACGCATGTCGAGCTGGATCACAGTGAGATTCTCACCCTCGGCTGCGGAGGGTCGTTCCGGGTGCCGCGGGTCGATGGCTGGGGAGTTGCCATCGCGCTGCGGGCACGTGGGCGCATCAAGGCGCGCTGCGTGGCGTGGAGGTCCGTCGGCAGTGCAGCGCCGACGAGTGATCGACCCCGCGAATTGACCTGGGCGGCGCCTGCCGAAACGTCTGGGCAGGCGTTGCCGAGCGCCGTAGAATGGGGCGGGGTCAGCTGCGATCCCGCAGGTCTCCTCGCTGCGAGGCGGGGCCCGCGGCGCGCCCGCGTTGCCAGGGCTGCGGGAGTTAGCTGCTCGGCCGATGCGCTGCCGAAAGTCTTGGTTCGCGCCGTCTGACGGGTGCCTGTGGCGGCTGAGCCCCCGCCCGCTATATAGCGGCGAGTAGTCCGTCACAAAGCATAGGTCGCCCAGCGAGTGCTCGGGAGCGAGCGCGAGGGCGAGCAATTCGGCGCGCGGGCGCCGTTTTAAAGGAACCCTCTGGGCCGGCGATCGCGCCGCCCCAGGGGGCCAATTCCCCGCGGCTGCGCTTGAGAGCGATGGCCGCTGCTCCTATCCTGCGGCGGCGGAGGCCCGAGCTGCGGGGCCCGCCCGGCTCGCCTCCGAACCGGGCGGGCGGGCCGCCATCGCCCCTGCGCCCCCCCCGGCCCCGCCCCGCCCAGCTCGGCCCGCCTCGCCCGCCCCCCCGTATCGGCGAAGACAAGGCAAGTGTCAGCGCGGGCGCGCGCCCCTCGGAGCCGGCGCGCGGGCCGGGGCTCCGCCCCGGCAAGGGTAGAGGGCAGAAAGTCGCTGGACTCGTCATGGCCCTCGTGGTCGCGGTTGCACATGCGCGGCGAGACGCGGTGCGTGGTCGTCTCGGCTTCGCCGCACCTCGGGCGCATGGCGCCGGCGTCGCGCCCCGCCCCCTGCAATCGCTTCCTCGGCCACTGCGCGCCTGCGACCGCGCGCAGGTTGATGGCCTGCTGGTCGAACTGGGCTCTCTGGGTAAACATCTCCATCGCGTGGTGGATGACGTGGGCGCCTGATCCTCCTCGCTGGGGTCCATCGCCGCCAAGGTGGCGACTTGCGTTCTTCCGCGTGCGAATCTCGACCGACTTGATGAAGTCGCGGACGAGCTCGGAAGGGTCGACGCTGCGTCGATTGGTCTCTAAGTCGCTCTGCTCGGAGCGTGGTGTTGGCCATGTCTGTCTCCCAGTTTCGCCCTGCAGTCGAGGTCGCGCCCGCTCGTAAGGCAGCGGGCAAGTCCAGCCTGCGTCCGCCAAGATGGCCTGGGCCGTTGAGATGGGGCCCCGGATCTTGCGTTATTTCTTGTTGCCTGGGCTGGTGGCCTTGGTGCGTGTGAGAGCCCCCGAGTCTCGGCGGCGCGCTCGCGGTGGATCGGGCGCCCGAACCAGAAGCGGAGCCACCCGAGGACGGTCTGGCCCCAGAGCTCGACGGCGGGGCCCCCGTCGCCCAGCAGGGCGGCTGGCGACGCGGCGGGGCACGTTCCAGCGCGCGTGCAGCGTTCGCCATGGCCGCCTGTCTACGCTGCCGTAGAATCACCGACGGCGCGAGGCCCATGATCTGGCGGCCGTGGGCGCTCATGAGTCGCGACCCCACGGCCCAGAGGCCTCTCGCGATCTTGGCCATGGAGGCGCGCCTGCGGATCTTGCCGAAAGCGCGGTTGGTCCTGCGCGAGGCCTCATCAGCCCTCTTGGCCGCCTGCGCTGACGTTCTTCTCTTTGCGCCTGTATTCGATGCCCAGATCGACGGCGGAGCTGGCGACCTCGACGCGATGGCCTTCGTCTTGCGCGCGACGCGGGCGGAGAGCGCGATGGCCCCGAGCACGGCCGCGGTTTCGTGTCGGACGGCCCTTGCTTGTGCCGTGCGGATCGCGCCGGGGCCCCTAATTGCGCGGCCCCGGAACTCGCCGAGCTCGCGGGGCCACTGGTCGGTGATGGGAGCGCGGATCTTGCGCTGGGGGGCATCCCCAACACGCCAACCGCCAGTGGGGTGGGGCGCCATGACGCCCGCTGTAGCATAGACCCGCTGCGGCCATAACGCCTCGTCCTCGATCTGGTTGTAGAGGTCCGCTAGGCGCTGGACGCCGACTCTCGGCGTGCTTCGCGCGTCGATGGGGGCTGGCGTTGTTGGCGCAAGTCGCCTTTTTGGGGCTGGCCGCGCTCGCGATGGAGAGGAATTAGTTGGTGCTCCCCCATGGTTGGGGGCGCGGGTCGTCCGTCGCGATGATCTGGATCTTCCCGCGTGCCTTGGCCCACTCGCCTTCGGGCTAGGAGCTGATTTTCTGGGAGTCCCTCCGCGTGTCCGCCGCAATGTTCGCGGCGAGGCATGGGTCGCCGCAGGTTGCGCGGCGTCGCGCCTGAGCACCGGCCCCCGCGGGTCAGGGCCCGCGACGGCGCGGCGCAATTGGCCAGGCGCGCTCTTCCACGCCGTCTTGTCCCAGTCTAGGTCGCGCTCACGCGTGCTACCTGCGGCCTTGCCCGTTGCCGCGTTCGCCCGCTGCGTGGTCGTGGCGAGTGGGTGGCGCAGGTCGTCGTCGGAGTTTCCACTCGTCTGTCTCCGCGGGGTCTACCTGGGGCCGAGGTGGTCCGCGGTGAACTCGTCGCCTTCGAACTCGTCGATCATGGTGTTGATCTGCTCGCGGATGCCGGACTGCGGCTCGTCGTCGCGGACGAGGGCCGCGCGGCGCGCGCTGGGGGGGGGGGGGCTGCCGCCGGGCTGCCTTGGAGGTATTTATATGCGTTCTTCCAAGGGTCGCCGTCGCTGCGTGGGTGGCCGCCCCGCGCCCTCGGGGACGCACCTCGGGCGCATGGCGCCGGCGTCGCGCCCCGCCCCCTGCAATCGCTTCCTCGGCCACTGCGCGCCTGCGACCGCGCGCAGGTTGATGGCCTGCTGGTCGAACTGGGCTCTCTGGGTAAACATCTCCATCGCGTGGTGGATGACGTGGGCGCCTGATCCTCCTCGCTGGGGTCCATCGCCGCCAGGGTGGCGGCTTGCGTTCTTCCGCGTGCGAATCTCGATCGACTTGATGAAGTCGCGGACGAGCTCGGAAGGGTCGACGCTGCGTCGATTGGTCTCTAAGTCGCTCTGCTCGGAGCGTGGTGTTGGCCATGTCTGTCTCCCAGTTTCGCCCTGCAGTCGAGGTCGCGCCCGCTCGTAGGGCAGCGGGCAAGTCCAGCCTGCGCCCGCCAAGGTGGCCTGCGCCGTTGAGATGGGGCCCCGGATCTTGCGTTATTTCTTGTTGCCTGGGCTGGTGGCCTTGGTGCGTGTGAGAGCCCCCGAGTCTCGGCGGCGCGCTCGCGGTGGATCGGGCGCCCGAACCAGAAGCGGAGCCGCCCGAGGACGGTCTGGCCCCAGAGCTCGATGGCGGGGCCCCCGTCGCCCAGCAGGGCGGCTGGCGACGCGGCGGGGCACGTTCCAACGCGCGCGCAGCGTTCGCCATGGCCGCCTGTCTACGCTGCCGTAGAATCACCGACGGCGCGAGGCCCATGATCTGGCGGCCGTGGGCGCTCATGAGTCGCGACCCCACGGCCCAGAGGCCTCTCGCGATCTTGGCCATGGAGGCGCGCCTGCGGATCTTGCCGAAAGCGCGGTTGGTCCTGCGCGAGGCCTCATCAGCCCTCTTGGCCGCCTGCGCTGACGTTCTTCTCTTTGCGCCTGTATTCGATGCCCAGATCGACGGCGGAGCTGGCGACCTCGACGCGATGGCCTTCGTCTTGCGCGCGACGCGGGCGGAGAGCGCGATGGCCCCGAGCACGGCCGCGGTTTCGTGTCGGACGGCCCTTGCTTGTGCCGTGCGGATCGCGCCGGGGCCCCTAATTGCGCGGCCCCGGAACTCGTCGAGCTCGCGGGGCCACTGGTCGGTGATGGGAGCGCGGATCTTGCGCTGGGGGGCATCCCCAACACGCCAACCGCCAGTGGGGTGGGGCGCCATGACGCCCGCTGTAGCATTGACCCGCTGCGGCCATAACGCCTCGTCCTCGATCTGGTTGTAGAGGTCCGCTAGGCGCTGGACGCCGACTCTCGGCGTGCTTCGCGCGTCGATGGGGGCTGGCGTTGTTGGCGCAAGTCGCCTTTTTGGGGCTGGCCGCGCTCGCGATGGAGAGGAATTAGTTGGTGCTCCCCCATGGGCGGGGGCGGGTCGTCCGTCGCGATGATCTGGATCTTCCCGCGTGCCTTGGCCCTCGCCTTCGGGCTAGGAGCTGATTTTCTGGGAGTCCCTCCGCGTGTCCGCCGCAATGTTCGCGGCGAGGCATGGGTCGCCGCAGGTTACGCGGCGTCGCGCTTGAGCACCGGCCCCCGCGGGTCAGGGCCCGCGACGGCGCGGCGCAATTGGCCAGGCGCGCTCTTCCACGCCCAGTCTAGGTCGCGCTCACGCGTGCTACCTGCGGCCTTGCCCGTTGCCGCGTTCGCCCGCTGCGTGGTCGTAGCGAGTGGGTGGCGCAGGTCGTCGTCGGAGTTTCCATTCGTCTGTCTCCGCGGGGTCTACCTGGGGCCGAGGTGGTCCGCGGTGAACTCGTCGCCTTCGAACTCGTCGATCATGGCGTTGATCTGCTCGCGGATGCCGGACTGCGGCTCGTCGTCGCGGACGAAGGCCGCGCGGCGCGCGCTGGGGGGGGGGCTGCCGCCGGGCTGCCTTGGAGGTCTTTATATGCGTTCTTCCAAGGGTCGCCGTCGCTGTCTGGGTGGCCGCCCCGCGCCCTCGGGGGCGGCCTCGGTGGCCGCCGCGTTCCTCCGCTGGGGCGCCATGCGTCCTGAGGGTGGCGATTTCCATGGTGGCCGCCCTCTTCGCAGTCTCGGCGTCGATATCGATGGTCTTGGTCGGCCTGCGCCGGCGGGAGATTCGCCCGCGGCCGTGCTTGGCGCCCCCCGCTGCCGCGGAAGGCGCGGGGAGAGGGGTCGACCTGGGCCGCCGACTGGGGCCGCGCGGACTCCGCGACCATGGGCGAGATCACATCCTCCACGGTGGCGGTGTTCAGGCCGATGTTGAGCTGGTCGAGCTCGCCCCTGAGGTGCTCAGCCAGCCGTTCGCGCCGTGCTTGTGGAGCTTGGGCTTTGGCTCTCGGCCTCCTGCAGCTGGGGTCGAAGTTCTTCTCTGGCCTCGCGCGCACTGGCGAGGCCTCGGGGGGCTGGGTGGCCTGCCGCTGACACGGCTCCAACCGACCTGCCATGACCTGGATGCCGCGCTGCGCCATCCACGGTGCATCGCGAACGACTTCCATCTTGACGGAGGTGTCGATGTCGCGGCGGACGATGACATGGTCGCACGTGGAGCCCTTGCCCTTGTCGCGGGTGGCGATGCAGTCGGGGGCGGTGGCGGGGGCGCCATCCCACTTGCCGAGCCGCGGTTCGCCCTGCTACCAGTCGGGCTCGCAATTCCAATCCGCCAGGATGGTCCACGGGACGCGGAGCATGTCCACGAAAGTGGAGATGGAGTCTCGGGCGCCGTCTTTGGCGCGCTCGTCGCAGAGTCCGGGGTGGAGATTTGCTGAGACCGCCGCGACGCTGCCCATCTTAGCGCGGCGGATGCTCGGAGAGACGCCCACGAAGGGCTGCCTGCTGTACTTCTGCTGGTGGAAGTCCCTGTGGGCTTCGAAGGATGTGGCGGCGATGTCCTTGCGCGCGAGGATCCACTCGCCGCCCTGCGTGCCCTTGTCAGACTTGTTGGTGGGTGGAGCACAACTTCCAGTCATCCTTGGCGAGCTTGCCGGCCTGGCCCAGCACCCGCTCTGCGTCCATGCGGGTCTCCGCGAGCGCCGCCACGCGGTACTTGAAACCCTTGGTTCTGGAGTAATTTGCCGCGTCCGGTCCAGCGAGCCACCTTTGCGAGCGCCTGCGGCAAGTCCCACTCCCCTGCCAGTGGTCTTGACCGCCTGAGTTTGCGCGGCGGCGTCGGCGGCGGCCTCGGTGATGTCGGCGGCGGGCTCCGCTGCGAGCCCAGGTGGTGGGGTAGCGCTGGCGGCCCTGTTTCCCTGCGCGGCGCTGCTGGCTGCACTGGTCCCTGCAGAAGGCGGGGCTGCAGCAGCGCCCTCGTCTGCCGGAGGGGCGGCCCTCTTGCGCTTGGCGGGCTTGGCGGCGCATCCCTTGGCCTTCCTGATGAGCTCGCGGTGTGCTCCTGGCCATCATAGATGGTCTTGACGCGGTCACCGAAGTCCCGCTTCCAACCATCCAACTGGGCGCGGGTGGTGTCGTCGTTAATGCGGAGGTCCTCTCAGGTGGTCTGGCCCTCTGCGAATTCTTGGGGGGCTGCTGGCTGTGCCCCTGCCACTCGTGTATCTGATGCTGCCAGCTTGGCGCGTCTGTCTTCTTGTGCTTTGGCGCACGCGTTCTGCGCCTGGGCGAGGTCGAGCGTGGCCTATTTCTGCTTCTCCACGGCCTGGTCGAGCCAGGCCTGGGCCTCTGCGACGTCGTCAACGCACTGCTGGAGCTTGCTCTCCCTGTCGGTGACGACGGCAAGCGCGAGCTGAAGAGCTTGCTCGGCAGAACGAACAGGGAGTGGTTTGTCAGGTGCCTCAAGTCCTTCGCTGCGCTGGACTACGAGGTGGTCGTGTTTGTCGTCGTCTTTTGAAGGGCTTCTTGCGCGCCTCGGGGATCAAAGCCTTGGATGGTCCACCTTGTCCTTGTCCTGGTGCTGGCTGCTCTTGTTTCCCAAGGTGACTTCGTTGCGCTACCTCCTGCCCAAGCACCGGTTGGCCGTCGATGTTCTGCCAGGGACGGCGCGAGAGGCCTGCCGCACATGGAGCACTCTTGTTTAGCTTTCCATGCCCACCTGTAGCGGCACTGCTCGCATACGATGTACTGGGACACTGGTTTGTCCCCTGATTCTGTGTCGGCTCGACGTTGTTGCTGTTGTTTTCGAGGGATGACAAGACTACCCTACCCTGGATTACAAGTGCGTGGTCTGTAAACCTCCTGGGAACCCCCAAAGCCTAGAGCCGCCAGGACGCGGCACATCACGCAGGGTTTACCCTGTCAGCCCACAGGAGTTTCAGAGCACAGCGCCTCGTAAACCAGGGTAGTGGCGTTTTTTCTGCCCTTGATGTTTGGCGCCGACAGTGGAGTCAGCCCCACGGCTGCGACCGCCTGCCATTTCTCTGGTGACCACGCCGTGATGCCGTCGCCGACGAGGAACGCTGACACGGAGGTGGGCGGCAGCTCGCCCCTGGATGTTGCTGCTGGATATGGAACGGGGATGGGCGGCAGCTCGCCCCCTGGACGTGGCTGTAAACACGAGACGCGCTGAACGCCGAGGGAGCCCCTCCCGCTTTGGCAGTGAGGTGGGCACGAGTTTGGCCTTGAGCCAGGCTGGCTGCGGAGGAAAATGGCGAGAAGAAGGAGGAGGAAGTGGAGGGAGAGAAGGAGGAGGAGGAGGAGGAGGAGGAGGAGGAGGAGGGAAAACAGGAGGAACAGGAAGAGGATTAGAAGGAGGAAGGGGAGGATGAGGATGAGGAGTGGGAGAGGAAGAAAACAAGGAGGGGGCGAATTTGGGGGTAGAAGGAAGAGGCGGAGGCGGAGGAGGAGGAGGAAGAGGAGGAGGAGGAGGAGGAGGAGCAGGAGGAGGAGGATGAGGAGGAGGTTGAGGAGGAGTAGAAGGAGGAGGAAGAGGAAGAGGAGGACTGGAACAGGGAGGAGGACAAGGAGGAGGGGCCGCGACCACCGCATCGCGGCGGGCCGAAAACGACTTAGGATGAGAGGAGGAGACACGGGTGAGGAAAAGGGAGGGCTGGGGAGGAAAAGGAGGAGGAGGAGGAAGAGGAGGAGGCGAAGGGCTGAGGACTAAGGAGGAGGAGGAGGAGGAGGAGGAGGAGGAGGAGAAGAAGTAGGCCGTGGAGGAGGAGGGGGCGGAGGAGGTGCACCATCAGCTTGTTCGGCTGGTACACCTCCTCGTGCTCCTCGGGCAGCCCCAGGACAGGAGCGCCGTAGTGCCAGGAGGGGGGCGGGTGCACCATCGGGGGCGCCATGGGGGTGCGGCTGCCGCGCTCCTGCGGGAGCAATGGACGGCGAGGGGGAGGGCCTTTGCCCCCTCCCCCTCTTCATCGTTGTTTTCTAATCGTCGTCGTCGTCGTCATCCTCCTCCTGCTCCTACTCCCCCTGTTCTACCAGTCCTCCCTGCACTCCTCTCCCCCCTTCCATCCCCCCTCCTCCCTTCCTTCAACCAATCCCGCTCTTGCGCTGAAAGGACTTCTTGGATCTGCGTTGGATCTCCTTTTTCTGGCGCGCGGAGCGCGCTAGGGGCGGGACCGGAGGCACCACCAAGGGGGGCCAGCGCAGCTCCGAGAGTTCCGCTCGGAGTTCCGAACGCTTGAGTCCCCAACGATTTTTCGTTTATGCAATTGTAGTTTCGTCTGTGGCGCTCTTCGCCGTGCCGGACATCGTACAGCTGCTGCCGGACATCGCTCATCTGCCTGATGATGTTCAGGTGCTGGTACTGCGTGACTCGGCGCCTGCTGATCTCGTGGGCGAGCTGCTGCTGCAGCTCGTCGTAGCGCTCCTTCGCGGCGCCGCCGTCCCCGTCGGCGCACCGGTTCTGCGGAGGGGGGCGGCAGGAGGACGACGACGAGGACGGGGAGGAGGACAGGAGGACAAGAGGGAGGATGAGGAGGAGGAGGAGGAGGAGGCGAAGGAGGAGGAGGAGGAGGAGGAGGAGGAGGAGGAGGAGGAGGAGGAGGAGGGGGAGGATGAGGAGGAGGAGGAGGAGGAGGAGGAGGAGGAGGAGGAGGAGGAAGAGAAGGAGGAGGAAATACAGTGCAACTCCAATACGCATCAACGATGTTGCAAAACCCTCCCTCCAGATTCCCTCTTCCAAGGCCCCTCCGGAACTTCAACGCCGTGAATCAACTTGACTGTTGCGTCCATAACACTCCTAAGCGGTGCCAGAGCACTGTTCCTGAGACTTTAGCACCTCGAATCAACGTGATCATTTCGTTCGGACAGTCCTAAGCCGCGCCAGAACACCATTCTGGGGACTTCAAGCCAACGAACCTTGCAACATGTGGCAACCTTTCAAAACGAATGTGTGGGGCGCTATGGCGAGAGCTAAAAGCCAGCCGCCCTCCTTGAAACTGCTACATACAACGTTTCAAACTAATGTTCGCGGCGCTGTCGCGAGACCCACATGTTGAACACCAGCAGCCCTCCATCCTTGAAGCTGTTGCGGAATCCAAGTTTCAGGACCATACATGGTAAGGAAGTCGCGAGCGAAATGCACGGCCCGCCCTACTGACACGCCGACACGTCTGTGGGCGCGACAGGGAGGAGCTATTCATGAAGAAACGGGGCGTAGGATGAGGAGGAGGAGGAGGCGGAGGAGGAGGAGGAGGCGGAGGAGGGCCCGTGCCACCGCATGGTGCATGAGCTCAGCGGCGGCGCGCCGGGCTGGGTCCGGACCTCTGGGGGTCGCGTCATGAAAAAATCATGACGTCGGGGGTCTGGGGCTGCAGCGGCCCTGGCCGGTGTCGGAGCAGGTGGTATACAACCTGCTCCGACACCGGCGACCGTGCGGGGCAGGGCGTTGTGGCTACGCGGGTCTGCGTCGTAGTCCTCTTGCGTGCCCAGCCCGGAACGATGCAGGGTGCCTTCGTGTGCAGTGGTGCGCGAGGCCACACACACAGGCACGAACCACCAGGCTCCACGGCACTCCAACTAGTGCGATAGCTGGTCAGTGCCGTCCTCGCATTGCCACCGGCACGGCAGTCAGGGATGTTCCACGGGCATGCGGTACGAAGTGGGCCAGGCGCCTGCGAGAGTGCGGACTGTCGCCCAGCCAGCGCCTGGGGCGGCGACGGCCAGCTGGGCTTTGAGACGCAGCCACCTCCGTCGGAGCTCATTGGGAGCCGCTTGGGCAGGCCATCAGACACGGAGGCGTCGACGGATCGTGGCATCGAAACTCTCGGGAAATAAATGCTGGGTAACTGCAGCCGCGAGCGCCGCGAGCGTGCGCTGCAGGCGAGGCTTGCGCGTTGCGGCCGCCGCCGCGCGCAGCTCGCGGCATGCTGCGGTGTCGGCGGCTTGCAGGGCTTGCCGTCGTCGCCGCTGCAGACGCTCGCTGGGCGCCTTGACCGCCGCGGTGTCAACGGCCAAGAGGTACTGTAACATGGACTCGGTCTGTTCCTAGAAGTGGGCGCCCCATCGGCCCGAGATCACGGTGGTGGCAGGGAGAACGTCCATCGCGCACTCCCGCCACGCGTCCGCGAATACCCTCTAGTCCGCCAGCGTGGCGTGAGCGGCGCGCCATGCAGCGGCCCAGGAATCAGGCAGCAGCGCACCCTGGGCGGGCCCGGGTGCCCAAATGCCTCGACTGATCAGGTCGGCCATCGCCAGTGACTTCGCCGGAACTTTCAGGATGCGGTGCAGCTCGTCGAGCTCACCCTTGATGCGGCACTCCAGTAGGGGCAGCAACTGGGCCAGGTACATGAGGATGATGACCACAGCCAGTCGAGGAGTCCATCCAACTCGACATGCAACCAACAGCAGACACACGAGTTAACACACTCTCCAAGGTCGGGGTCACTCGCCTCGCGCTTCCTCCTATCAAGGACCCGCTGCCCGAGGCTCACTGCCTCGGCCTCGGCGCGGGAAGGGAATCCAAAAAGGGCGAGCCCCCTAACGAGGTCGACCCCGCACCCGTGAACAGTGCTGGGAGGGGGTCCAAGGAGAGGTGCGCCATCAAAACCGAGCTTCGCGGCCAAGAATTCCCGAGAGGAATTCGAGAGGGCAGCGGCCGCCCCCACACGCCCGTTCTTACGGGACGGGTGTTTGCCACGCAAAATCCAAACCAATTGCCTCTCGCGACCGTCAGTGTGGACATCGAGGCAATTCGACACCAAAGCACTTCTGCTCCAGGACGGCCGATCGAGCCGCACCTCGTGCAGAAAACTATGGGCCCCTGACGGGACCCATCCGGTCTGGTCACCGGGGTCTCCAGGCAGACGTGGCCGCGGGCACGCCAGGGCCTGAGCAGGCCCCACGCCACTTCGCCAGGCGGCGGAGGGGCGCCTTGAAAGGCAGGTCCCAACACCGCGCCTGCCAGCGCCCCCTCGCGATCGTCATCCTCCCCCGCCCCATCCACGACAACGGACGACCGATACGATCCACCATTCTCATTTTTAGCACGGAGCTCGGCAAGCTCCTCCAGGGCCCCAACGGGGAGGAAGGGCCCGAGCTCAACATGTTTGAGAAAATCGAGAAGAGCATGGTCAAACACTTGGCTATCAGCTATCCGGGCCTCTTGCTGGGCTCCGAATCGAGCAGCCTGCCTGGCAGTCTCGCGACAGCCGAGAATTACAAAACGATCGGCGGCAGCACGCCCGTTCAGTTCAGCCCCCTGGCGGGCGAACTCAACTCGTCCGCCGCGCGATGGCCGAACCACTGGCGACGGGTAAGCTTGCCGTTTGGGGTATGATTTTCCTTGCAGTGGGCAAGGACCTTGACGACAGAGACCCCGTCGAGTTTCCCAAAGACTTGGGCCCGGATTTCGAAGAAAGATTTGAGAAGGCGCCGCCCTCCATCCGCGCAGATGTTCAAGCGTGCTCAAGCCCTCGGGACATGAGAGTTAAGGACGTCCCAGACGAGGGCCCCATCCTTGTAACTGTTGCAAGAGTGGCCGGAAGAATGCGCGCGGCGCGGGGGCGGGAACCCTATTTTGAAAAGGACCGGCCCTCCATCCTTGTAGCAGGCGCTCACGACGAATTTGCGCAGCGCTAAGGCAAGAACACCGTGTAAAAGCATGTCCGCCCTCCATGCGCATAGCTGTTGCTAATACATCGATATGTATATATGTAATTCTATCTGTATGTGTATATATATATATATATGTATATATGTATATGCTTCCTCTTCATATACTATTGCAAGCCGGGGGCGGGACACCCCCCAGAAAAAACGGATCCCCTGGATCCACGGTTTCCGGGCCCCCCGGACACCCTTGCCAAAGGTCCCCCGGCTCGTCCCGGACCTCCAAGGCGCTGAAGCTGGCAAGGTCTGGCCAGCAGACCCCAGGCGATCAGACCGGTGATCAGAGAGGCCGAAGAGAGACCCAAGACACCACAAGAGCGCTTCAAGAAGGACGCAAATGCCATACAGGGGCCCCCAAGACGGCCCAGGAGGCCCTGACCAGGACTTCCCCAAAGCAGAAATCGCTCCATTCCTGGAGGGAAACGTGCATTTTCAGCATCTTCGCAGCAGCGTCCAAACAGCAAATAAGGCTTCCGGTATCGCCCCAAGACGGCCCAGGAGACCCCCAAGAGAGACTCTGAATGGCCCGGATGGTCCCAAGACTGCCCAAGGAAGCCCCGAATGGGCCAAATTGAAACCCAACAGGCCGCCACAGGGCCCCCGAGAGAAGCCCAAGACGGCCAAGGGAGGCCCCCAGAAAGGCCATGGAAGGCCACCAGGAGGGCCCACGCAGCCTCCGTAGGGTCCCTAGAAGTCCAAGCCCACCGGCACGGCCCAAGGTGGCCCCAGGACGGCTCGAGAGGGCCCGACGCCGGCCCACCAGGGCCCCGACAAGGCCCAGGGACGCGAATCCTTGCTTCGCCACCACATGTCCCGGAAGACTGCTGCGAACCCAAGACTCGGCGCATTCCCCCAGACTTGTTTACTCTCGCGTGCCCCGTTCCGACCCGCTGCAACAGGACATCCTCGGCTTGGCGTTGCTTCGTACTTTGCGGTATTGCTTGACATTGCGTCGGCTTGCTTGGCGTTCATTCGCGTGGCTTGCCATTCCTTCGCATTGCGCACCGGGGCACCTGAGACACGAGCGGGCCACTGTGCGGGCCTAATTACGAAGGCCTTTCGTCGTCATTCACTGCCAGACACTTCAGCAAGCGTGTACGCACACATGAAAACGTAGCCGTTGGCTTCTGGACAGCGCTCCTCGGTGCGGCACAACCGAAGTTCTTCGCCGTCCCCCGACGGCGCCACCTCTTTCCCTCCTCCTGCTCCTCCTCTGGCTCCTCCTCTTCCTCCTCCTCCTCCTCCTCCTCCTCCTCTTTCTGCCGCTCCACCACTCGTTCTCCCCAGTATCCGCTTCTCTCTCCTCGCTCCCCGAGATTCTCTCCCTCCGATCCTTCGCCCTGCGCCCGGCGCCACCGAGAGGGCCACGGAAGGACCACGGTCCGCCCGAACTTTCGAAAACTTCAGAAAAAAACACCCCAGGGAAGGGGCCAACATGTCCAAGGCCACTAGGGATGTCGCGGACGACCAAGATAAGCAAAGCCTCAGCGACCAAGGTGCATGGCGCAAAGCGACAATGCAGTCATGTCACGTACACAAATATATTTCTATCTATACACATATGTACTAGAACCTTCGCGCGCGCTTCGCGCGCGCTCAGGTTCTAGTTGTGGGCACGGCCTGGGCGCTGAGGGGGAGAGATTCTTGCCACGAAGGCGGCGGGGTCTTCTCCCACCCCATGTTCCGGAAGCGCGCTTCCGGAACATGGGGGGCCTCTGATCATTTTCATGCGCTCCTGCGCCCTATTCGCTCGCACCCTGGACCCTAGACCCCTGCCCTATGTACCTTGCGCGATCGTCGTCGTCGATTTCGGCGGTGCATGATCCCTTTCCCATGTTCCGGAAAGCCTTGTCCGGAACATGGGGGCGAAGAAAGGCCTCGCGCGGGTGGGGCGGGGCCTCCTCGGCTTGTGTTGGCCTGAAGGCTCAACCCATGGGGCTCTTGGGGGTCTCTTGGGGGTCTCTGGGGGCCTGTATTTGTCGTCTCTTGGAGTCTTTTGGAGGCCTCGGGGTCTCTTCGGATCTCCTTGGGTACTCTTGAGGGCCTCTGGGGACCTCCTCGGGCCCTCTTGGAGCCTGTTGGGGCCCTCTCGGGGCGGAAAACTGGATTTTTGAATGTATGGTCGTCCTCTAGGGCCCCTTTTGGGGCCGCCTTGGAATCCTCTTGGGCTGTCTTGGGTGTCTCGTGGGCCGTCCGGGGAGCGTCTTTGGGGCCTCTCGGGCCGTCTTGGGGTGTCCTGGCGGGCCTCTTGGGCCGTCTTGGAGCGTCGGGAAGGCGAGAGGGCGTGAAGGCCAAACACATAGAAAAACACATAGGACAACTAAGAATTCTCCCTCCTCGGGGTCCTCTGGGAAGACCTCTTGGGGACTTCTTGGAGCGTCTTGGCGGCCGATTGGGTCGTCTTGGGCTCATCTTGGCCGTTTCGGGGGCCTCTGGGGACGTCTTGGGGGCCTGTGGGGGCACTCCGGACTCGTCCTGGGGCTCACTAGGCAGGTTGGCGGCACGGCTGGGACTCTCCGGGGGACCTGAAGCAACCATGGCGACCGGGGGCAGCTTGGCGAGGGCCCCCGGTTATATATATATATATATATATATGTAAATGTATATATATATAAATATATATCTACATCTATATATATATGTATAGATGTGTGTATGCATATATATATATACGTATATATATATTGTGTGTATGAATATACATTGTGTACGTATATATATATATACAGATTTGAAAGTGTGGGCAGCGGTGAGGCGGGTCCGCCTTCCATCCTAGTATCCTAGTAGCCGTCGCACGCTCATCGTACGAATGTGTGTGTGGCGCTGCGGCGGGGACCACGTTCTGGGAAGGAGCCGCCCTCCATCCTGGCAGCAGTCGCAACTTCCAAGCTTCGGGATGCCAGGTCGTGGAGGAATTGCAGGCGAATCACTCAGGCCGCCCTGCTGACACGCCTGGTGATGCGGCCAGGGGGGCACGCGTCTGGAAGGAGCCACGGCAGGTGGAGGGCGAGGAGGTGCAGCACCTGCACCGGGAGAAGGACAAGGAGGGAGGGGTGGAGGGGAGGAAGGACAGAGAGGGCAGAAGGCAAGGAGGGAGGGGGGAAGCAGGAGCAGGGTGAGGCATGGGGGCAATCAGGGAGGGAGGGAGACTGGAGTGAAGAGTATGACCTCATGGGCCGCCAGGAGCGCAGCGTCTCGCTTCTGGATCTCCTCTCGCGGGCGGGGAGGTTGCAAACTGAAGGCAAGCTGGGGTGGTGCTCTCCCGCTCCCCGCCACTCCTCCCTGCTATGTGCCAAGATCCTCCTTCTGCTCCTCCCCCGGCCCTTCCACCTCCACTCCTCCACCCCCTGATCCTCAGACTCTCTGCCCCCCCCTGGTTCTTCCTCCACCCCACGCCCTTCTCGTCCTCCCAAGCCTCTCCCCCTCTCCCCTCCTCCCCCTCCTCCTCCTCCTCCTCCTCCTCCTCCTCTTTTTCCTCCTCCTCCTCCTCCTCCTCCTCTTTTTCCTCCTCCTCCTCCTCCTCCTAACACTCCGCGTCATCCTCTCTTCTCCCCTCCTTTTCTCAATCGTCGACGTCGTCGGCATCCTTCTCCCGCTCCTCCTGTTGTTGGCCCCCGCCCCTCCTCGTCGGACTCCCCCTTCCCCCCAATCATATTTGTACTCCCCTAATCCTTTTCGTAACACTGCCGGGGGGAACATGCATAACATGCTGGTTACCGTTTTAGATGAGCGTGCTACACGGCAAATCATGAATCATGAGTTTCCCCTTCCACATCCCTCCATCCCCCTCCCCAAATTCCATTCCACATCGGGGGAGGAAGGACGGGAAAGGAAAGAAGAGGCGGTAGGGTGGAGGGATCCAGACGGGGTGATTAAGGAGGACGTAGTGGGCAGAAGGATGGGGGATGTTGGAACAAGTGGCACGCGTGCCACGGCTCTACCACATAAAGGAGGGGGAGGAGTAGGACGAGGAGGAGGCGGAGGAGGAGGAGGAGGAGATATAGGAGGAGGACGGGGATGATGATGATGATGATGATGATGATGATGATGATGATGATGATGATGATGATGATGATGATGATGATGATGATGATGATGATGATGATGATGATGATGCTGACGAGGAGAAGGGGGAGGGGGGATGGAGGACGAGAAAGAGGAGACGGAGGAGGAAGAGGGGGAGAATAATGAGTTGCAAAAAGCGGGGGAAGCAAATGGCGACTGAGAAACATGAGGACACGGGGTGATGATGACGAGGAGAGAATGGGGGAAAAAGGACGAGGAGGGAGGACGGCGAGACGGAAAAGGGAACGCCAACAGCAGGAAGCGGACTCAGTAGACGAGGCGGGGCAGTAGGGGAAGGGTGCAGCATTCACATACGCGAAGATGCCGAACAGGGGTTTGCAGGGCGGGGTGGTTGAGCGCGCTGGCTGGCGGGCGAAGAGGAGCTGGGCTGGCCGTGGGGAGGGGGGAAGGGACGCGGCGCCTGTGCTGTGCCGAAATAGAACGGTCGGGGCGCAGGGAGCGCGCTGACTGACGGGCGGGGGGGAGCTGGGCGGGCTGTGGGGGGAAGCAAGGGCGCGGCGCCACTGCTGTGCCGAAGTACAGCGGTCGGGGCGGAAAGGGCGCGCTGGCTGGTGGGCGAAGAGGAGTTTGGTTAACTGGGGGGGGAGGGAGAGCGCCGTTGGCGCGACGATATAAACAAGTCGGGGCGGATGGGCGCGCGGGCTGGCGAGCAAGGGGGAGGAGGAGGTGGGCTGGCCGTGGCGGCGCAAGGGAGGGCGCGGTGCAGGTGCCGTGCCGAAGTACGACATCAAAAAAGGGTCGGGCGAGGGGGCGCGCTTGCTGGTGGGCGAGGATGGAGCTGGACTGGCCGTGGGGGTGACAAGTGGCGCGGTGATGGTGCCGTGCTGAGCTATAAAGGTGGTGGCTCAGGAGGGACACGGGCTGGCGAGGAGGACGTGAATCGGGGTGGGGGGGGCGCGTTTGCTGGTGGGGGGTACGAGGGGAGGTCGGCTGGCTGTGGGGGGAAGGGGGGGCGCAGTGTCGGTGCAGTGCCAGAAGAACGTGGTCGGGGCGGTGGGGGCGCGCTGGCTGGTGGAAGAGGAGGAAGTGGGCTGGCCAGGCGGGCACGGCGCCAATGGTGTGCCGCAAGAAACGGATCGCGTCGGAGGGAGCGCGCTGGCGGGGGAAGAAGAAGTGGGCTGGCCGCGGGGGGGCGCGGGCGCGGTGGTGCCGCGCCGACATGAAAAGGGTCGGGGCGGAGGGGGCGTGCGGGCTGGTGGGGGAGAGGAAGTGGGCTGGCTGCGGATATGAAGAGGTGGGCGGGCGCGGCGCCTGTGCCGCGCCAGGGCGTGTTGGCTGGCGGGGGGTGGGGAGGTGGGCTGGCTGCTTCGGAGTGGGGCGGAGGGGGCCCAGTGTCGTGCCAAAAGGAAGTGGTCGGGGCGGAGGAGGCGCGTTGGCGGCTGCGGAGGAGGGTGGAAGGGGGGACCGGTGCCACGTCGAAATAAAAACGTCGGGGCAGATGGGGGCGCGTTGGCTGGCAGGAGAGAAGGGGGCCGGGCGAGGCGCCGGTGCGGCGCCGAAACAAGTGGCGCGCGTGCCCTGGCTCTTGAAAGTTCGAGGAGGGAGGGGGGAGGAGGCGCAGGTGGCGGGGCCGATGAGACAAGGAGGAGGAGGAGGGGCAGGTGTGGCCAGGGAGTCCGGGTGCTCACCGACAAAATTTGTTGGACAGCTGCTGAGGCTGGGCCAAGGGCCGGGGCCAGCGGGGCGAGGGGGGGCGGGGCCGGGGCTGCCGGGGGAGGCTGGGCTGGGCCCAGGGCCGGGCCCAGGGGGCTGGGGCCAGGACACGGGAGAGGCTGGGTCCAGGGCCAGGACAACAATGGGGGCGACGACGAACGAAAAGAAAGGAAGGCCGGGGCCAGGGCCGGGGGAGGAGGCTGGGTCCAGGGCCGAAGCCAGGGGGGCGACGACGAGTGAAAATAAAGGGTCTGGGGCGAGGAGAGCTGGGGCCAGGGCCAGGGGAGGAGGCCGGGTCCAGGACCAGGACCAGGAGGTCGACGACGAAGATGGCTGGAGCTAGGAGGGAGGCGCCTCCTAGCTGGGTCCAGCGCCATGACCAAGGGAAAGACGACGAACGGAAAATAAAGGATCCGGGGCGAGGGGGGCCGGGGCCAGGGCCGTGGAAGGAGGGCGGGTCCAGGGCCAGGGCCAGCGGGGCGCGGGGGGCCGGGGTCGAGGCCAGGGGGGGTTAGGTCCGGGCCAGGACCAGCGGGACAACGACAAACGGAAGTACACAAGTCCAAGCGCTAGAACACAACTGCGCAAGATAATACAAGGGCCGGGGCGGAGGGGGCGGTTCCGCGCCGGAATGAAAGGGGTCGGGGCGGAGAGGGGGCGCGTTGGCTCGCGGGCGGGGGGATGCAGGGGGGGGGCGCGGGCCGGAGAGGGCGCGCTGGCTGGAAGGCGGGGGGGCGCGGAGGGCCCGTGGGGGCCGTGCCGAAATAAAAAAGCGGGGGCGGAGAAGAAGGCGCGCTGGCTGGCGGGTAGGGGGCGCAGAGGGGGCTCGGGATGGGCGGGCGGTGCCGCGCCGAAATGATGCGGCCTGCGGGTAGGGAGATGTAGGGGGAGCGCGCAGGGGGGGGGGGGGAAGGGGGGGGCGGTGCCGCGCCGAAGTGATGGGGTCGGGGCGGAGGGGGCGCGGTGGCCGGCGGGTCGGGGAACGCGGGAAGGAGGCGCGCGGGGTGGGGTGGGTGGTGCCGCGCCGAAAGCAAGACGTCGGGGCGGAGGGGGCGCGGTGGCTGGTGGATGCGGTGGTGGAGGTTGCGCTCGGGAGGGCGGGGGGGGGGGGGGGCGGTGCCGCTCCGAAATGAAGGCGTCGCGGCGGAGGGGGCGCGTTGGCTGGCGGGCGGGGCGACGGGCGGAGCCGCGAAAAAAACGCCGTGCCGAAATGCAAGCGTCGTGGCGGAGGGGGCGGCGCCGTGCCGATTATACGGGGGAGGCGCGTGAGTGGGCGAGGGGGGGGGGGGGGGGGGGGGGGGGCGGGCGGCGCGAGGGCCGGGGGGGGGGCGCGCTGGCTGGTGTGCGGGGAGATGCGGAGGGCTTATATTGCAAGGGGGAGGGGTCGGAGCGGGGCGATGCCGCGCCGCCATCGAGAGGTCGGGCGAGGGGGGGCGCGCCGGGCGGTGGGCGGGCGGGCGATGCGGAAGAAGCGCGCGGGATGGGGGGGCGGCGGTGCCGCGCCGAAATGAAGGGGTCGGGGCGGAGGGGGCGTTTTGGCCAGCGGGTCGAGGGATGCGGAAAGAGGGCGCGGTTGGTGGGGAGGGGGGCGGTGCCGCGCCGAAATATAGAAGTCGGGGCGGACGGGGGCGCGTTGGCAGGTGGATGGCGCGATGGAGGTGGCGCTCGGCAAGGGGGGGGGACGGGGGGGGGGCGGTGCTGCGCCGAAATGCAGGGGTCGCGGCGGAGGGGGCGCGCTGCCTGGCGGGCTGGGGCGATGCAAACGGGAGTTCGGGACGGGGGGGGGGGTCGCGACGAAGGGCCGGGGGGGAGGGGGCGCGGTGGCTGGTGGGGGGTGGCGCGGAAAGGATGCGCGCGGGGGGGGAGGGGGGCGCGCCGCCGAAAATGGTCGGGGCGGAGGGGGCGCGGTGGCTGGCGAGTGGGGCGACGCAGAGGGGGGCTCGGGGGTGGGGGGGGGCGGCGCCGCGCCGAAAAAAAAGAAGCCAGGGCGGAGGAGGGGGCGCGCTGGCAAGCGGGTGCGGGGCGGGGGATGGCGCGCGGGAGGGGGGGGGGGGGGGGGGGGGGGGGGGGGGGCGGTTGCCGTTCCGGAATAAGAAGAAGGTCGGCGCTGAGGGGGCGCGCTGGCCGGCGGGCGGGGCGGTCGGGGCGGCGAGGTGGCGCGCGGGATGGGGGGTCTGCGCCGTGCCCGTGTAAAGTGGTCGGAGCTCTGTGCGCCCCGTGCAAGCGAGTAGAACTGCGCGGGCGAACGGCGCGCGCTGGCAGGTGGCGCGGGGTGGGGTGGGGTGGGGTGGGGTGGGGTGGGGGGGGGGGGGGCAAGCTGCGGGGGGAAGGGGGCGGGCGCGGCGCCCGTGCCGTTCCGGAATGAAGTGGTCGAGGCGGAAGTGGCGCGCTGGCTGGCGAGGGAAGGAGAGGTGGGCTAGCTGCGGAGGGGGGCCGAGAACGGATTGGTGCCCTGCTGGAATGCACGGGCC